TTTCATATATTCCCCATACAAATACTATCATGTAAGTGATATTATCACTACAATTTACAAATGCAGAAAGTGAGCTATATATACAAAGGTTAAATAACTTGGCCTTGGTTCCACACAAATAAGTAAGCCAGAACTGTGATTCTAATGATCATTTTTACAGACAGTACTGCCTCTTCTTCACTATAGGATAATTTGTCATTTGCTGAGTTCCCTCTCTCCACCCTTCCCATAGTGCCTACTGTGGTGTCTGACACAGAAAAGCTCTCCAGGACACATGGGCCAGTGTGCCCCTGCTCCCTGGCCAGAGCCCCACCCAGGAAACAAGCTGGAAGAGAAGGGAAGAGGACACAGTGAGCATGAAAAGGCTTGAGCTTTGGGGGAGCCACAGGAGTCCTCTTCCTCTGACCCATTTAAGAGAGGATCATGCTGCTGCCTTGACCTCCATCCCAGAAAAATATTTAGAACAGGATGACCTGGTTGCCTTGAAACTCTTCATGAAAACTCTGAAGTAACACAGCCTACACCAACTCGTGAGAGGGAGGGATGGTATCCAGTTCCCTGCAGGAAGGCGACCAACTGTGTCAGGGTCATAGTCACGTGGGCCAGCTAATGTTTGCAGGCATCTGGCACAGATCAGCTAGCTGTATAACTATGATGAAAATTGGTGAGCATTCTGAGAGTGGGTGAGGAACGGCGTGGGATAGGTGTACTTTGAAAGAAGACAGGTTTTTTTACGTCTGTTTAGGGCTCAGTCTTCTCATCTTTTAAAACAGGAATATGAATGCATGCTATTTGCAGAACTGCTAAGGTATAAAATGAGACTGCCCAAAACGCAGCTACTATACAGTACCTGCATCAGTTCATTCTTACAGGGTTCTAGGTACACACAGAGATGTCTTCATGCTGCTCACCATCTGGAGTACGCGATCAACAATGATGAAGCTGGGAAGCGACTTACCCTATCTCTCCACAGGCCCTTTTGTAAGATGAAAATCTGGTGGGGAACAAAACAGTGAAAACTTCTGGCAAGAAAAAAATCTTTGCTTCTGGGTCTTCGTGGCCGATCTCCCATCCACACCTCTGTATTAAAAAATTAGGGAAGGAGATTCTGCCATTTACTAATTTGGAAAAGCAGCAGGTAAACTCTGTTCTTTTCTTTCACAGCATGCACTACTAGTTCTCATTTATATGTAGCTGTGTTTTTGTTAAATGTTGATCTTCCCCACTGACTGTAAGCTCCTGGAGCATGTGGCTGAGTGCTGCTCCTTACTGTAGGTCCAGAATATAACACAGTCACTGGAACATACAGGACGCTTGCTGAATGAACAAATGAGACACACAGGTATCTATATGCTGCATGGATATACTTGGTTACCTAACAAAAAGCACTTTAAAGGAGCTGCTTTATTTATCCACAGGGTACCACTCAAGATTTTCAAGAAACTGGTAATGGTGATTTACAGGGAGAAGAACTAGTAGACTTGGGGTTAGGGATCAGAGAGAATCATACATGCCACTCTTCCTTTCATGTTGTTTATAAAATATATACAATCAAATATAAATAGACCCAATAAGATGGGTCTGCTCTATTTGAAGCTGAAACAAGCAAAATTAGAGACTTTCCATAAGAAAGTGAATTACTGGAGGGCTGTGGATGTGGCTCAAGCGGTAGCACACTTGCCTGGCATGCATGTGGCCCGGGTTCGATCCTCAGCACCACATACAAAGATGTTGTGTCTGCCGAAAACTAAAAACAATAAATATTAAAAAAGTTCTCTCTCTCTCTCTCTCTCTCTCTCTCTCTCAAAAAAAAAAAAAAAAAAGAAAGAAAGTGAATTACTGGAGGGAAGGGGAAGGGGATGGTGCCCACATGTGATTAAAATCCTAAAAACTGAGGGATTCTTAAGAATGAAGTTGATATCTACATGCTAACATGGAAAAGATGATTATCAAGGAAAAAAGCATATAGTGCACCAATTTTAAAAAGTACATACTGATAGATATCTCATTTTCAGCATAAAATATGAAATGTTTAGCATTTGCTGGGGAAAAAAATCTCAGGGGGAAACAACTTCCAGTGGTTACCTCTGGGAGAGCAGCTTATAGGGGATTTTTATTTGCTATGGGTCATATTCCTATAATGTTTTCATTTTTGGATAATGAGCACGTACTGCCTTTATGTTAGAAAAACACCATTAAAAGGCAGCTTCACCCTCCAAAACCCAGAGTTTGATTTTACTGATCACCTAGGACATGAGAAGGAAGTTGGCTGAAAGTTGGAGGGGGTTCAAAACTCTGTAAAGTTCTGAACAAACTATGCAGGAGAGAGAGAGACTGCTATTGCTCCACACAGATAATCCGTCTTCAAGTAACTGGAAAGATTTATTTTAATCCCTGACACTGCCTCAAGCCACTGTTACAGCCCAGATGCCATGCCAGCTGGGGAACTAGATATTTTCTGAAGAGAAGGCAACTCTTTTGTATGCACCAGTAATGACAGGGATCACACTGAGCCTCTTTACATTGCCAAGCTTTATGGGCAGGTAAAACTAAGGTATGGAAAATGTTTTCATATTTCCCCTACCTGTCTCAAATAGTCCAGAACCCAGCTACTTGGCTTTGCTATAAAACTCAGTGACTCTAAATCCTGAATGCACCTAGGGAGTTTATTTATTTTAAAAAAAATACCAAATCCTGAGACTCATGCCTCAAAATCCTTACTCATATACTCGGGCTTGAGGCCTCAGTATTTCAAAGTATCCCAGGTGATTTGAATGTATAATCAGGTTTGCAAATTGCTGTTCCACACACTGCTTAATACCCTGTACCCCTTAGAGAAAGAGGCCTCAGTCACTATTTTTAAAATTCTTCTTTAAACAGTATATTCCCCCAAAGAAAGGCAGGCCAACGAAGTCTGTAACCAAGACAACAAGCTGGGAGCACAAAAGAGATAGGTCTTCTATGATTCGAAGCCAGAGGAAAAAGTATAGAGTTCTGCAAGCAGTCACTGAAAAATGAAATGTTAGCACATCAAATTCCTGCTTCAGCTCTCAAACTGGGTATCTTGACATAGATGCCCTGCAAGCTGAAAGCAACTCAAAATTAGCAAACTAAACCTTTAAAAACCTGATTTCTTCTCAATGGAATCTATGAAAAAATGGGAATGTTTGCTTTGGGGGGAGGTTGTAAACACATTTTTTTTCTTCCAAGCCTGCTCTCTCTTCCCCCACATGTACCTGACCCAATTGCAAAGTGGGATGACAATGAAACATGAAATCCACATGTGCTTGGATTTTTCAAAAGGGTTCTTCCTCATCTGTGCTCCGACCCTGGAGTTTGGGTCTTGTTCCCAACCAGGGAAGCTCCCAGATGGATGAAAGGGCTGGGGATGCTGCAAATTGAAAGCATTGGAGTTCGCCTTTTTCTTTCTTTTCTTTTTTTTCCTAGGCAGGGACTATTCTAGAAAGCAGACATCAAAAGGAAAATTCAGTGAGCAATGAGCTCAAATTGGACAAAATGTGATGAGGCATAAATGGACAAAAAAAAAAAAGAAAGAAAGAAGAAAGGAAAGGAAAGGAAAAAAAGCCTTTGTATCAGAAGGGGCTCTTTTCTGAAAACTGCTTCAAATTATAGCATTTTTCACATTTGCTTCACTCCAGGAAGTTTCAAATTGTACCTAACACCATAACACATTTTGCCACATGTTATGAAGACAAATTGAGACAGATGCAAATGGCCCAGAGTTTGGTGGTTTGGCTATCACAAGGGGAAAGGAAATGCATGAATTTGGGAACAGCCCTGTTACACTGACACTGTTCCCTTAACCCAGACAGATGGAAGTTTATTCAGAGTGACATTAAAGAAGGGATATTACAAGCAGATCTGTGATGGAGCAAACCATTGGTGGCTTGAAGGAATACAAAGATATATATTACCTTTAAGAGGTGTAACGAGGGGCTGGGGTTGTAGCTCAGTAGTAGAGCACTTGCCTCACACATTTGAGGCACTGGGTTCGATCCTCAGCACCACAAAAAGATAAATAAACAAAATAAAGATATTGTGTCCATCTACAACTCTCTCTCTCTCTCTCTCTCTCTCTCTCTCTCTCTCTCTCTCTCTCTCTCTCTCTATATATATATATATATATATATATATGATTTTTTAAAAAGAGGTATAATGATAATGTTGCCCACCAGCCTCTGAGAACTTTACATGGCCTGGTAGAAGAGTGCTTGTTCTCACAAGCCTTTCAGGTTCACTTTGTGCTTATGATCTTTTAAATTAGTCACCTGCAAAGTGTTTTCTTCAGTACAAAAGAAAAAAACAGCCTGAGGTGAGAGTCTTGGAGCATATCCTACTAGAAGCCAGGTGGAGTACTGAGAGCTACGCCATCCCCTCCGCCAGCCACAAACCTACCACAAGAACCCAATCCTCATCAGTCCCAGGCTTACACCCAGAAAACCACTTTCTCCTTCTTCTTGATCTACTGATATTTCCTCTCATCACATGGGTCTTTCTCCTGAATGCCTTTTAACTCTAAGGTGATCCATTAGGCTGTATGTAAATCACTGTTCTTGCAGAGTCTATTCTGAGCAGGAGAAACTCCCCAAGAACCACAATGAGAAGGCAATAGGTATTCAAGGTCCAGGATGGATACACCACATGCAAAATGCTGTGCACTAGAAAGTGTTTCAGATTTAAGTTTTTCAAATTTTGGAATAACTGTATGAACTTTACTGCTTGAGCATTCCTAATTTGAAAACTCAAAAGCAGAATTTCAAAATTCTCCATAATATGCAACTTTTCCTGGTGTTATACAATCATTTTTCCCCATTCAAAATTATTCTAATTGTATGTATTTACAGGGTACTGATAATTCAATACATGTAACCAATATGTAATGGTCAAATCAGGGTAATTAACATGTCCATCTTCTCAGATATTATCATCTCTTTCTCTTAGTATACCTCAAACTCCTCTCTTCCAGTTCTTTAGAAAATATATTTCTAAAATGGAACACTTAGTTTGTGTGTCATCCTTGTATATTGACCTTGATAATCTTCTTTGTATTGTTCCAATTTGGGTACACATGTTGCCAAAAAAAGTACTAAATCTCAAACTTTTTGAGGATCAAGTCAGCCTTCAGAAAATTATGGATTTCAAACATTTCATATTTTTGGATTAAGCATACTTAACCTATCATGTGTAATTTTCAATAGCGAGGCCAGGCTACAAACCAAATGATCTAAAGCCTCCTCCTAGCCCTGCCAGAACTGCATAAAACTATTGCCACTACTTAAATGAATAATAACACCATTTATCAAACCACATGCTTATTAAATGCCAAATGGTTTAGAAAATTTAAAACAGTGTTACTAACATACTAGCAGAGGGATTTTAGCAAATTGCACAATCAAGAAATACCCACTGAGCATTCAGTTATGTTCTACACTCTACACATGTGAAATCCTAGAATAATGAAAAGCCATCTGTCATGTGTAAATTCTATAAGCAGTGCCTTGGGTAAGCTATACTCCTTTAGCTCTCCTCCAGGCCCAGCATTAAATGAACAAAACCTAAATTATAGAAGGCACTTTATGCATTACTTCATTCTCCTGTTGTCCCCTGTATTCCACCAGTAGTGGCCTTGGTCAAGTGATTGGAGACAGTCTCAAATACCCAGAAAAGAATAAGTTGTTCCAATGTATTTAGACTTGAATTATGGAATGTATGGCTCTGGAAGGAAACGCAATTATCTGGAGTCAGAAGCCCTAGGTTATTATAACCCCCGAATAGCTGCTAACTGAAGTATGGACTTGAACAAAAAGATAAAACAAAACAAAAACAGAAGCAAAAAAAAAAAAAACTCTGCCCTCTTGAAATTTCAGAGACCACATCTGAGAAAGAAGAGGGTTATGCCAGATTGGGAGTTCTCGGCATGGTACAGCAGATCTTGGTTATATTTCATCAGGTGAGAAGTGACGAAAGTTAATGCATTGTAAATAATAAGGTCCTGGGCTGGGGATGTGGCTCAAGCGGTAGCGCGCTCGCCTGGCATGCGTGCGGCCCGGGTTCGATCCTCAGCACCACATACCAACAAAGATGTTGTGTCCGCCGAGAACTAAAAAAAATAAATAAATATTAAAAAAATTCTCTAAAAAAAAAAAATTACTTCAGGAAGGGCTGGGGATGTGGCTCGAGCAGTAGCTTGCTCGCCTGGCATGCGTGCGGCCCGGGTTCGATCCTCAGCACCACATACCAACAAAGATGTTGTGTCCGCCGAGAACTAAAAAAAATAAATAAATATTAAAAAAATTCTCTCTCTCTCTCTTCCCTCTCTCTCCTCTCTAAAAAAAAAAAAAAATAAAATAATAAGGTCCTAAGGTTTGCAATTTATTTGCATATATATTCATTTGTATGACAATGATACCCTTTCTCACTTGCATTGCTATGTCTTTGGGAGTCAGAGAGAAAAGGCTTGAATTACAGATCTATCAGTTAGAAATTCTGCATAACTTAAATATTATCTTCTTATTGATGCAGAACTCAGCTTAGTCAACTGAGCACATAAAGATCATCCATCATGTCTGCAGCAGCTACAAAAAAAAAAGGTTGAGAACCCTGGACTAGATCACTCATTCACCTACCATATAGTTTATGCTAAGTGCTAGGAATACCTGCAACAGGTAAAGGAGACATCTTTGCCCTTTTTTTTTTTTTTTTGGAGTGTTCAGTCTAGGAGAAATGACATAAAGCATCTAAATCACACTATAGCAAAATCTGTGACCAGAGTTTTGAAAGCCTAAAACACAGATGCTAGTTAAGGGGGGCTGGAGGGTGGGGGGAGAAAGTTCCAGGCAAAGGAGAAAACATGAGTACAGGCTTAAATGGCCTAGAGGTTACAAAGGCACATTCGGGGAACACAAAGTAGTTCCTTCTGCCTGGATAAGCCAGAGTGCCAAAGGAAATATGGTTAAGAAGTGATACTGGAGAAGTGAGCAGAAAACAGACCACACAAAGCCTAGGAGATCTTGTGAAAAAGTCTTAATTGCTCTCTCCCAGAGTAAATCCCTATAATTGTGGTCAGAGAATAAAGCTGGGATGTAGCCTAAGATCACAGATCTACACCCTGATGCTTTTCCCCATTAAAATTACTTTCAGGAATTCTGGTTAGGAGCTACAGAATTATCCCTTCTTATCCACTTCTGATTAAATAGACTTTTGCCAGCTGCTCTGGGAACCTGACCCACAAGCAGAATATTGTGTCCATGGGAAAATGCAATCTGAATTCTAAATAGACTTCCAAAGAAACTTTTGGAACAAAATCCATTCAACAGTTGTTGGGAATGCCTGGAAAGCAATGAAACACAGGATCTTGCTTTACTCCATAGAGACAGTGTTTGAAAAAAAGACAGAACACTATAACCAATCTCTTAAAATAAACACAATATCCCCATTTTAATTAGTAGGGTTATATTTAGGTACAACCATTGAATGACATTATGCAGTGCCTGTTACAGACTTAAATTACCACAAAACCTCAAATATGTTAGGGATGACTGGCTATTTTCACTCTAAATAAAAACAATGCCAAAAATGGAGAAAAGGGTGTTCTCTTTAGAAAGAAACATGGATGCAAGCCAAGTCTAATGTACACAAAATTTTCCTATGTCCCTGCCCAATCAACTCTTAATTATCCAGGCATTAACTCAACAAAGATATGAATGCTAAGAGTCATCTAATTCTGCATGGTGGCATCTCTATTCTTCTTTGCCTTCCTTCCAATAAAAAGTACTTATGTATGTGCATTTAGAAAACCCCTTTTAACACCTTGGAACATCCCTCTTTTTTCTCCCCACTCACTCACTTGTTCTACTAATAATGGGTGCCCCAGAAACATTAGTAATTTCCCAGAACTACCTACCAAATACTTCTCAGGTCTTCTATACAGTAATTATTCATAAAGTGTGCATAAATATCACCTCAAGAGGAGTGAGTTAAAATTCAGATTCCCACCTCAATTCCTCTCCCTTTTTCCCAATATCTGGGTTTAATAGGTTTGGGGTACAGCATTTTAAATTAAGTGCCAAAATTTTTTTTAAAAAATAAATAAAAATAATAAAAATAAAAATAAAAAATAAATTAAGTGCCCACAGTGACTATGAGGCAAGTGGGTCAAGAACCACACTTGGAGAAACATTACTGTGGATATTTTACCCAGCTGACCCCAAATCCTGAAAAAAGAATAGTTGCTAAGAGCCCAACATTAAACCGAGTCAATAAGAAGGAGCGATACAATAGATGAAAGAAAATAGCATTCTAGACAACTTGTCCCCAAATATGTTTTTTTTTTTCAAAAATCAAATGCTATACTTTGACTATTATCAGATAAATTGGCATTACCAGCACAGCAGTCTCCTACAGGTACCAGGAAAAGAACACGGAACAGGAAGTAGAAGAAAGGAATCAAAATAAGAGAAGGAACAATGTTAATTTGCCTGACCTCACACCAATGTGTTTCAGCCTTCTTACCTCTCCTTCTAGTTGTTTCCATCTCTGGGGCTTGATGCTCTGTGGTGGCCAGGAAGAGAGGCCAAGGTGGAGCAGCCTTCTATTATTCACATTAATGCTTTTCTCTAAATCGTAAATAATCAGGACTTGACTGGAAAGGGGAACAAATGAAAGGCAAATACTGGGCTGAGAGGTTAAATAGGATAAAGAAGACCCCCTGCTGGTTGAGAGCTGTGAGGTGATAAATGAACAGTCAGGATCCCTGCCTCTTTTCATTCACACTGTTTTGCCAGGAACACGAACTTGAAGCGCATGGCGTCAGCACCAAGCATCAGAGAAATAATCAGGTATCTTGTGTTTTTCCACTCTTCCCTATAATACCTAGAAAAGTGTTCAGCACATAATTTAACCTTTACAGTTAACCAACTACTGTTGTTGGCTCAACCCAGACATCTACAATGGTAAAAGCTGGGGCCTAGAGCTGGTCTTTTTCATTCCAAGAAAACCCAGTCCTATTAAAGCCAACTCAAGAAAAAGGGAGGCTGGTAGTTAAGAATACAGGTATCCCATGGATGTCCTAGGTAGGGTAAAGCTGGGCCTCAGAACAGGATTGCTGCTCCTGGGTGTGTTGTGGTTGTGGAGAATAGTCTGTCTATACTTCCCTATCCAGCTCCTTCTCTTTATTCATGATATCTGTATCCTCACAGCACCAGCTTGAACACAGTCCATCAGGACCACTTGCCTCCACATCATCTTTTGGCTCTTGTCTCTGTTGCAAACTGCCTTATTTAGCCTATTACACTCCCAATTCTAATTTCCTAGGAAAGGAGCACACATGGCTCAGTTGCTCTTGTCAAGCCCATATTGATTGATCCAGGTGATGGATGGGCTGTCAAAGGTCAGGTAGCCTACTCTTAGTCTAATCAACCCAAGCCACGAAGGTAGGGTCTCTGTCACAGCAGAGCTGGCGGGAGAGGTTTATCTTAAAAAGGGATACAGACCAAAAGGCACAGTGTGATATATATGTTACAAGCTGGATGCTTAGCATGTAATTTGAAAGATAATGAAATGTCATTCATGATCACCAAGCAACCAGAATCTTACCATTCTTTCTTTTATTTATTTTTTCAGTACTGGTGATGCAACCCAGGGTCTCATGCATGCTAGAAAATGCTCCATCACTGAGCTGCACCTCTGGACCCAAATTTTACCTTCTTAATTAAGATAAAAGATAGCACATGACCCCAACCCTGAAAGCTCACCCTCTCTCACCCCTATTAAAGTTACTTCTTGAAACTAATAACACTATGATGCTGGCTCCCTGAGATAAAGAGGGAAGGAAAAGACAAACAAATCCTGATAAAGTGACACGAATGGCCTTTAGCCTATCTCTCTGCAAGCAGTCAGTTATACTTTACACCCTATGATCACCTTATCTTCCTTTAAATTTTGCCAAGTGCCAAGTTAGGTCAGTGTCCAGTGTTAAGTAGAACAAGGCAAGCAGCATCATAAACCAACAGATGGTAATTGAGAGCTTATCATTCTTGGATTATTTTATTCCCAGGAATGATACATGCCAGAAAAGAAAGCACAG